TCTTCAGTCTAGTTGTGGAGGACGTTGCTTCACTGGCCCAAGTTGGCACCATCATTGCGCTTTTCCCGGGCGAGGCAGATCAGTCGCTGGCTTCTGGACGGCCTCTCACTGCAGCTGCTGGCCGCTCCCCTGGCTGCTGGCCCCACATGGTAGCCCATGGCAACCCACTGCCACAGGAGCTGAAGCCTACGCCGTTGCCAACGACTCACAGCAGCCCAGCTCCAGGTTGAGCTGTTGTTTAGCATCTTAGCTGTAGAGGGCAGTGTCACTGGCCCTCATATGTGGGATCCGAACCGGGGCCCTCTGGCATCCCAAGTCATGCCACTCGGCTGGCCCCCTGAGGACTTAAACTTTTGAACTTTTCTTTTTTTTTTCCCAATTACAGTGGACATTCAATATTATTTTACATTAGTTCCAGGTGTACAGCATAGGTGTACAGCATAGTGGTTAGACATTTATATAATTTATGAAGTGATCCTCCTGATTAGCCTAATACCCACCTGGCACTATCCATAGTTATCACCATAGTATTGACTATATTTTCTATGCTTTACATCCCTATGACTGTTTTGTAACTACCAAGTTGTACTTCTTAATCCCTTTATCTTTTTCACCCAGCCCCCCAACCCCTCTCCCATCTGGCAACCATCAGTTTGTTCTCTGTATCTATGAATCTCTTTCCGTTTTGTCTTTTTTTCATTTATTTTGTTCTTTAAAGTCCACATATAAGTGAGATCATATGGTATTTGTCTTTTTCTGTCTAAATTATTTCACCTAGCATCATATCCTCTAGGTCCATCCATGTTGTTGCCTAAACTTTTAAACTTTCCAGTTGTGCATTACTGCCTGGGGGTATATGTAAGTCCTGTAGATAACCCTCTGAAGAATTTAGGAAAGAATGTTCACCTGTCCACACCGCTGGACATCCATATTGACATAAGAAATGTCCAAACCTGCAGAGAATTTTTATGAGTTTATTTGAGCCAAACTGACAACATAAGCCCAGGAGCAAGATCTCAAATGCTCTGTGAAATAACAGTTTTGCAGCTTCTTTTATGCATTTGAAATTAAGGAGGGGACATAAGGAATATTATATGAAGGTGGGAGAGAGCAAGGCGGGGATTGAATTACAGGATAGTTAACAAGATTATGTGCTCTCTTGAGGGTGGTTCCATTTAGCTCAAAGGTGTGTTATCCTAGATGCACAGAAACAATGGACAGGGCTTGCTTAAGACAAAGATAAACCTTTTACTAAAAAAAGTTATATGCCTGGGGCATGACTACCCACCATGACCTGCCCAGTTAGAAATCTATGATCAGATCACCCTATGAGGTTACTCTCCATAGAACCACCTTTTCATCCACATCCACTATCCAGACCATCGGACACACCTGGAAGATTATCATCTTGGACTAAGCCAGAGGCTAAGAAAGCAGAAATGAGTCTTCTCAAGAACGTATTTTTCACTATAAGAATTCTCAGCTTTGCTTTCTTCTTCAGAACACTCTGGGTGTTGCCTCATTGTGTTTCTGCTTTGCAAATCCCTGGAATAAATCTTGCCATTCATTTCTAGCCAAAGCCTCCAGATTCAGCTCAACAAATGATATAACTCAGGAACAGCCAGATGGAAGGGATGCATATATGGGACAAGGTGAGGAACTTCCTTGCACTCTGAGCACCACTCTCCCCAAATCTCCACGTGTTTCCTAACTCGGGCGATCTCAGGAACCTGTTCTTTTGGGTTTTCTTGAAGGCTTCATTATAGAGGCATAGTTGATTAAATTATTGGCCATTGGTGACTGAATTCAATCTCCAGTCCCTCGATCCTCCCCAGAGGTTGGTGGGTGGGTGTGACTGAATGTTTCCAGCTCTGGAATCTCTTGGTTGGGTCCCTTGGCCCCATCCTCAGGTGACCCTAGGTATAGTCCAAAAGTCATTTCAGTAACATAACAAAAGACACCTTTATTGCTCTCCTCACTTGGAAATTCCAAGGGTGCTAGTTGATAAGGTAAGTAGAAAGGTAGAACTGAGCAGGAGAAGGGGGGAACCTACCCTGGTTAGAAGGCCCCTTGTGCTGCTCCGACTTAGGTCACAGATACCCTGCTCTGCAGGATACAGTAAACAAAGGTGGGCACAAAACAACTAGCTCAGCAGGACAGCGGGCTCACACTTGCCCCTAAAGCAAGAAGAAGAAAAAATGCCAGAGGATGGGAAAACACCCCGCTTATCAGAATATACATCCTGCTTCTCAGGACTATTGTAATGAGCTCAAACAACCTTGGGAGCAAAAATGGAGGAGGAGGCATGCCAACTGGGAGAATGAGATTACAGGAGAGGGAGATGGAGAGGCGATTCTACACACAGAAATAAAAACGCTCACACAATGTAAGGAGAGGCTGCTTTTCCCTCTCTTGAAACAGCCTGCTTCATAACCTTTGGAGTGTATCTGCTTTGCTAATAAACTTCTTACTGTTCTATGCTTGCACAAACTCTGTCTCTTGACTGAACTCTTTCCCTCAAGAAGACAAGAACTGAGGTTACCATTGTCACACCTGGTAACACTAGGAGCTCTGTGCCAGAAACCAGGACTAAGACCAAATATATATACACACACACACATATATGTACGTACATATGTATTATAAATCACAATATCACAGCTATGAAATTTGAGATGGGGAGGTTATTCTGAGCAAGCAC